TTGTCTAAATTGGGTAGGCGAGTGTAGGGTGTTTATATTAAGTAGCGGTATAGAGATACTTTCAAGGTGTCAAGTCGGGGAAAGGTGGGGTGTCAAAAATGAAACGGAAGATGTATTGACCATCGTCTAGTTTGTTTGTCTATGGAGATTTATTTATTTATTTTATTTTATTTTTATTATGAAAGGGAATTGTGCATATAAAAAAAAGAAAAACTTTCGTAACGTTTGTTTTTTGACGACTTCATAAAGGGTTATCTTATATGTAAGGTATTTAAACTACTATTATCTTATATGTAAGTATTTAAACTAACCAGTTCCTTCCTATTTTCTATATATTTTCACATATATATAATTATATATATAATTTACGATCATTTAAATACAAAAGATATGTAAATAAGACAACTTATATTTGGTAACTATTTAGTTTAATAATAGTACATAATTAAAAAAAAACAAAAAACAGAGGCAAAGACAGCAAGTGCAGTAAATCTTGCAAGTCTGGCGGGAAACCCAACTGAAAAGCATTTCAAAGTCCATCAGGATTACGACAAGCATTAAATGAGGTCCCCAGTGTATTTAGTCTTTTTTCTTGACTATGCCCTGTGCATTTATGAATACAGATATGAAGAGATGAGAACTGATCATGTAAGCCTTCCATACCACATCCCAAACGAATCTCTCAAGAGAAGACAATGATTATGCTTCTCGTCCCAAGATAAATGTATAGATCACAAGAAGGATTATAGCGGTGACATACAATTGCAATTTAATTCAAACAGCCGCTTTAGTTTCCTTTCTTTCACCACCATACGGCCAGTTTTACACCCACTGAAGTGACAGGGTGTAATCGATTTCTATTTTTCCTCAGATTAGTTCATTTGCAGTAGTGTGCTGTGATCTGAATCTATTTTCGGGGTGTATGATGAAATTTGTTTCGCCTTGAAAAATATCGCGTCATACGTGATTACATCAGATTTTTATCGCGGCCAGACATTATTGTCTCGACTGTCGATTAGTTGTCTTATGACCATTGTCTGCGAAAATTGTGCTATATATTGGCTCGGAAACTCTCATTATTTACATCCAATCGAGAATCTGTGGTCAATCTGCAAGTAACGACTTCGTAGATTGGACGTCCGACGTACTAACATGTGTACTTGATCATGTTTCATTGTAAAAATGCGAAAATAGTAAATTATAACGGCATTATTCGTTTTGTTTCAATTAATTTGCACAAGGGTGTAGGTATCCATATTTGAGCTAAGAATTATCTTGAAAAGAAAATCAACATCCATTATCAAGTATTCCAAGAACTCTGGATGGACATTTTGAAAACAGAAAAATATGATTGGGAATTAGAATTAAAGCACATACATTGAAATTGTAAAAGAAAAAAATAGTATGTGGAATTAGTAAATACTAAACACATCAAATACCTGTATACTTTTATGTATTGGTTGTAACAAATTTAATATAAGTCATAAGAAAATGTAACATGGGAATAGCTGTCGTATTTTTAAATAGCCTCGTCAGTTCTTGTCGGGTGGTGAACATCTGATCTGTTAGCTGTATATTACCGCATTCTAAACCAATGGTTAAAATGTTTGTAAGAGAATGAAGTCTGTGAATCTTGTGAAAGACCTCCATTCTTCGAAGATTTTGGGCTGGCGCTACAGAATCACAAACATGAAAGAAATTTACCAGATGTCAGAAACTTGAGGACTACCAACAGCAGCAACGATTAAAATGTATATCATATGAAACTTAAACAGAAAACGATGACAAAATAAGGATATTGACTTTGCACACTACTTCAAATAAAAGGTTAGGAAGAAAACTCCCGTCAACACAGGAAAAAAAAACGATAACAGCAACTGCACTTGAGAATCTTATTTTCATGAAAAATTGTTTTAATAGACATATTTTATAAATTACAGGCGTAATTAGCACTAACTTCTCGGTGAATGAATTCCGAATATTTCCTTATAAGGAAATGGCTAATATTACTATCACATTTTCTATAATCTGAGATTACATCCATTCAGAATTGGATATAATCTAAGTGCAAAACAAAATATTTGTTAGCGTAGGTTTAATTTAATATGCAGTAGAATCCCTAACGACTGGACTAAGAAGGCCTTCCGTATAACAGGAATTGGTTACAAAGTCCGGATATGAGGGATTATATTTAGATTAAAATAAAATAACTGAAATCAGGTTTAACATTTATTTTCAATGTTTAATATTAAACAAAATAAGCTAATAGTAAGTGAAATATAACGGAATTGATTTTAAGGAAAAAGAAATAAATTATGTAATGTCAATGAAAATTCATTAAATTAAGTATGCCATGTATGCAAAACAAATAATGTAACGAGGATTTTTTAATCGCTGTTACATGATGATTCTTTCTCTTCTAATGCCATTCTCAATTTTTTCCGCATTTCGTTTTGTTTTTGTTCTTGAAATTTTTAAACGAAAGACACTTTTTTCATTCTGCATGCATTATTGCAATCGTCACAGCTGAATGCTGGCTTTCTTTCCATAAGACTGACAACCATTTTAATAGTTTTTTTTTTCAATTTCAGTCCTGGTTTCATCACAATCATGCATCTCGTCGTTATCTTGTTGCAGATGTGTCTCGTTGTTATCCTTTCCTCTTATTCCCATCATCTTTTGCACCAATACAAACCATTAGGGTGAAATAAGCATCAGCAATTATCGAAAGTCAGTTTCCTGAAGAAGAGAAATTTCAAATCAGTTACATATCACCCTAATAGTTCAAATATACACATCAAAATCATGTACGGATATGCTGGATTCCGGATATGGGGCACTCCGGATATGAGGTATTCCGGATATGAGAGATTCTACTATATTATTATTATTATTATTATTATCATTAAATAAAATGATTAATGTAATTCTTGCAATATTTTGCAACACTTAGAGAAGAGTACAATTTAAGAAAAGAAGAAATATACAGTGTTTAACAATGCTCAACAATATGTCGATAGTATGTCTATATTCACCGTGCTGATGGTGTGTCGCCTTGACGTGGTAGGACGGCTTCCGTGCTTCAACGACTCCCAGAGCTATGAGGGCGGGGGCTTCGACCCTTAGAAGGTCTAACCAAGCTCAACATTTCTGTGGAGTAGGAGTCAGACGAAAGACACACCCTGGCCTCCTTGAGGAGTGGGCAGTAGGCTAAGAGCCTAATCACTTAAAAACTAAATTGTTACAGAAACCTCAACAATATCTTCAAACAACGAGATGGACGAGGAAGAGTCCTTCAGGGTGTAGCGTATGACGCGTACTCGTGAAAATCCGTCGCGAAAGCAACGCTTCTGATGACGATGAGAGTCAACAACTAGGATAGGGAACAGGAACGTCAGAACCCTATACGACCAAAACAGACTTGGCACAGATGTGCTGACGCAAAGATGAGGGCAGCCGGCACATGGGCCAAGCTGAAGAGCATCGCCCGGAAGAGCGTCCGTTGGAGAAGTGTTTTGCGGCCCTATCTTCCCCAAGGAATCAAGGGGCATAGCAATAATATATATATATATATATATATATATATATATATATATATATATATATAGTGTTTAACAATGATCAACAATATTTCGATAGTATGTCTGTATTCCTCGTCCTGATGGTGTGTCGCCTTGACGTGGTAGGACGGCTTCCGTGCATCAACGTCTCCCAGAGCTATGAGGGAGGGGTCTTCGGCCCTTAGCAGGTCTAACCAAGTTCCACGGGTCTGTCGGGTAGGAGCGAGAAGAAAGACACACCCTGGTCCTCCAGGTTTGGGGATTGTGCAGTAGGCTAACATCATAAACACTTTAAAAAAACTAGTCTGTTACAGAAATCTCAACAATATCTTCAAACAACGACATGGCCGAGGAAGAGTCCTCCAAAGTAGAGCGTATGAAGCGTGCTGGTGAAAATCCACCGGGAAGGCAGCCGGCACGACATGGGCCGAGCTGAAGAGGATCTCCCGGAACCGCGTCTCTTGGAGAGGTTTTGCGGTGGCCCTATGTTCCCCAAGCAATTAAGAGGCGTAGTGAATGTCTGTATTCAAGTTATGTAGACATTATGTAGACATTAAGTTTCTGAAAAAATATTCAAAATTCACTGACTTCCACCCCTTAAAACGTAAGACAATAATTACATTTGGAAATTACTAATGTCCTCCCCGGAGAGAAGGAACAAAATGATAAGAGAGTTCAATAAGATTGATAGTAAACTGATTGATTAATTGTTCCTAATATCTAATCAACTAATTTCTCAGTAACCATTTTTACCAGAGCTCATATTATATTTTTTTTTGTTGTCTTTTTATCTGTATTACTGGTTCCGATATTGCCTTCATGTCTATTTTTCAGTCAGCTTAGGAGATGTTTGTGGCCTAGCATATGCGCTGATACCTTTTCGTATTTTCCAGTTCTCTCTTTATTATTTCAAATTTATCCCACAGAGGGCGGTAATCGCTTTTTTCCCTCTATATACGGTCAGCCATGACTGATGTTTCTATTTCTATAGGAGGTGACATATGTCTTTATTATATTTCTTGCCACAGTTACACAGGATGGCATACACACGGTCCTTACTCATGTTCTCTCGTAGTCTTACTCGGAAGAGGTATCTGCGTAGTGTTGAACCACTCCTGGAGGTTGTCCTGATCTTTTGTATTTTTTCACATCGGATACAAAAATGCAAAAAATAGAATCTTTTGTACCTTTTCACATAGGATAGGCAAACTGAGGCTGTTTTCTGAGTGTTGCTATCATCTTGCAACCTCGTTTACAAGATGATAACAACACTCAGAGAATCGCCTCAGTCTGCCTACCAGATATCTCTTCCGTGTAAGACCATGCATAAATGAAGGGTTCGGTTTGAAATTCCAACGTGGATCATTTGAAGAAGATCAGCGTGTACAACGACAGAAACGTTTTGAATATGGAAATAAAGATGAAGACAACAGACCAAACGACGTAAGTAGTGAGATAGATAGATAGATAGATAGATAGATAGATAGATAGATAGATAGATAGATAGATAAAAAGAAAGAAATATAGATAGATAGATAGATAGATAGATAGATACAAACTATTATAGATAGATAGATAGATAGATAAACAAACTATGATAGATAGAGAGATATGTATAGATAGATAGATAGATAGATAGATAGAAATATAGATAGATACAAACTATTATAGATAGATATAAACAAACTATGATAGCTAGATAGATAGATAGATATGAATAGATAGATGGAAAGAAAGAAATATAGATAGATAGATACAAACTATTATATATATATATATATATATATAGATATAAAACAAACTAGATGATAGATAGATAGATAGATAGATGGATAGATATGATAGAGGATATTTTGATGAGATAAATAGAACAGGCTGAGATAGATATAACAAACTTAGACATGATGAGATATGAATAGATTTAGATAGATGGATGTAAACAAAACTGAGATAGATAGATGATGAATACTAGATAGATAGAAATAGATACAAGACTTTAGAATATTATTAGAATAGATTTATGATGAATCCTGGATATGAACAAAATAAACAAACTATATAGATATATATATATATATATATATATATATATATATATATATATATGATAGAATAGATAGATGAACAAACTATGAGATAGATATTAATAGATAGATAAAACAAACTAGATAGATAGATATAGATAGATTGATAAAAAAGATTATAGATAGATAGATAAAACTAAATATTATATATATATATATATATATATATATAAACAAACTATGATATATATATAGATAGATACTTTTTAGATAGATGAACAGGCTAGATTTGAACAAACATAGATTTTAGATAGATAGATAGATGAATAAACTATAATACAAACTTCAAATGATAGATGAATAGATGAGATAGATATTAATAGATTAGATAGAAGATATTTGAAATAGATAGATGTAGATATAGATAGATAGATATTAAAAAATTATATATAGATATATAATGAACAAACTATTGATATATATATATAAACAATATATATATATATATATAGATATGAATAGATAGATATACAAACTATTCTAGATAGATAGATAGATAGATATATATAAAAATCCTATGATGAACTTAGATGAATATGAATAGATTGATTAAAAGAAATATAGATAGATAGATGAAACTATTATATATATATTTATATATATATAGATTTATATAGATATAAATATGATAATAGATGATAGATAGATAGATAGATAGATAGATAGATAGATGAACTTGGAGACAGATTGAACAAACTTAGACATGAACAAATTTAGATATTAATAGATTTAGATGATGGAAGAACAAATAGATAGATAGATAGATAGATAGATAGATAGATAGATAGATAGATGTCAGATAGATAGATAAATAGACTAAGATATAGATAGATAGATAGATAGATAATGGATAGGTCCTATTATAGATAGATAGATAAACAAACTATATTATATATATATATATATATATATATATATATAGATATGAATAGATAGATAGATAGATACAAACTATTATAGATAGATAGATAGATAGATAGATATAAACAAACTATGATAGATAGATAGATATGAATAGATTGATAGAAAGAAAGAAATATAGATAGATAGATACAAACTATTATATATATATATATATATATATATATATATATAGATATAAACAAACTATGATAGATAGATAGATAGCTAGATAGATAGATAGATAGATAGATAGATAGATGAACAGGCTGAGACAGATATGAACAAACTTAGACATGAACAAATTTAGATATGAATAGATTTAGATAGATGGATATGAACAAACTGAGATAGATAGATAGATAGATAGATAGATAGATAGATAGATATGAACAGACTGAGATAGATATTAATAGACTTAGATAGATAGATAGATAGATAGATAGATAGATAGATAAGAACTATTATAGATAGATAGATAAACAAACTATGTTATATATATATATATATATATATATATATAGATATGAATAGATAGATAGATAGATACAAACTATTATAGATAGATAGATGAATAGATAGATATAAACAAACTATGATAGATAGATAGATATGAATAGATTGATAGATAGAAAGAAATATAGATAGATACAAACTATTATATATAGATAGATAGATATTAACAAACTATGATAGATAGATAGATAGATAGAATGAAATATAGATAGATACAAACTATTATAGATAGATAGATAGATAGATATAGACAAACTATGATAGATAGATAGATAGATAGATAGATAGATAGATAGATAGATAGATAGATATGAACAGTCTGAGACAGATATGAACAAACTTAGACATGTACAAGTTCAGATATGAACAGATTTAAATAGATGGATATGAACAAACTGAGATAGATAGATAGATAGATAGATAGATAGATAGATAGATAGATGATAGATAATAGATAAATGAACATGCTGAGATAGATATGAAAAGACTGAGACAGATATGAACAAACTTAGACATGAACAAATTTAGATATGAATAGATTTAGATAGATGGATATGAACAAACTGAGATAGATAGATAGATAGATAGATAGATAGATAGATAGATAGATAGATATGAAGAGTCTGAGATAGAAAGAAAGAAACAAACAGAGATAGAAAATATAGATAGATAGATAGATAGATAGATAGATAGATAGATAGATAATGGTAATAACATTATAACCCTCTGACGGACGACAATTATTTTGACCTGGGTACGCCATGTGCATGATATGAAGTCTAAAATCTTCGACGACCTGGTGCTATACTTACACGACTGTGTTTCAAATTAGGCGGCGACACGTGTTGCTATCAGTATCGGTGGGTTGAAGGCGTCCAGTGTATGCGCAACAGTGACACTATCGCACGTCGTCTACAGCACAGGTTGAAGAAAATGTGGCGATGCAGTGTCAACACTAACCACCGTGAAACCTCGTACAAGCCTTCCGCAATAGGCGAAAGCGTTGCCTTTGCTCGACAACACTTCAGGGCATATCTCCAATATCTCCAATGATTTTGCCAGAGGGACACCCGTGGAGCTAGAAGATCTCTCTAGTATTCGGTGACGGGAAGAGGTTCTTCGGGCAAATGATGCTTTGCTTACGAGTGTGACCTAGACTACTTTCGGCGGAATAAAAATGAAAGAAGCATTGTTGTGGATTCCGAGATAAATTCGGTCTCCAATGAAGAACAAACGCAATAATTAAATATAAGAAATAAAATGTATTTACACAATGATACAAAGGGTAATACTGTTAGTAAATCCAGGAACGCGGTTAGTAGCAAATACAGATAGATCTATACAGTCTCGAAGTAGGACTTCCTTAGAGCCTACGTGCTTGTAACTGACTTCTACAAACGGTTACCTCACACTATCTCCGTTCGTACATTCTCTCTCTCTCTCTCTCCGACAACCCTCTCACTATCCGACTCCCCTCACTGACTGTCTAACTCTGGGTATTTAATGGCAGCCGTCCAAGTAACACTGGTAGAGTCCACATATGAAAAAGGGGTGGACCCCTTAACAAGCATTCAATTTATAACACACATCCACACACACACATGCATGAAAAAAGTCATTGGCATATTCTATTGGGAACATAAAACCAATGAGTTTGTGCGGAAAAGGGTTAAAAGTTTTGTGAGCCACCAGGAATCTTTTCTCGCCACTGTCAAACGGATAAAAATGGCGTGGTCTTTACACATTACAAGGCATGACAACTTGTGCAAGATCATCATGCAGAGGCACCGTCGAAGGTGGATGTAGGAGAGGACACAAACGTAAATAGTTGGACAGTGTCAAACAATGGGCAAGTATGACTGTAACAGAATTGCTGATGGCTGCCTTTGATACACCATTTTGGTGGAGATTCCGTGTGGCTTCTACTTTCGAATCGGCCCTTCGATAACAAAAGTCAAGAAGATGATGATGAAATGGACTAAGTCCGACAATTATTTAATGTATTTTCTGTTTAATCTTTATTTCAATAGATATTATCTACATTGAGTAAATGGTTTGTTTTTTAAATAAGCAGAATTAATTACATTTGCAGGCCTGAATTTTCGAGAAATTTCGTAGAAAATATGTGCTTCTCCGACAGGAATCGAATCTGTAACCCCAAAGGGAACCATCATTTGATTTGATGTGCTGTTAACCATTCAGTCACAATGAATCGTCTGGTTAGCAAAGACCGAATTACTTTTCATAATCAAAAAATCTTCGACGATCTTCCCAGAAAGATCATATCTGCTAATGAAACGTATCTTAACGTACCTTAACGTAAACATTGACAACATATCATGAATTGGCTTCAGCCCAACAATTCTGTTAATGTCATTTTTATATATACAATTTATTTAAGTAAATACTCTGTTTGTTTTTTTTATTTATTAAACGGTATTAAATTACATTTAATTACATTTACCGTCCTGAATGTTAGAGAAATTTCGTAAAAAAATTCACGAGGAATAGATTCCGTCTCCTAATGAGATGTGTTAGTACACACCGAAACATGATCGTATTTATGTAGCGTTTATTAACAGGTTGATGTATTATCCAAAATAAAAAAATAAAAAAATAAACAAATGAATAAATAAATGAATAAATACATATATATATATATATATATATATATATATATATATATATAAACTTGGCTATTTAGGCAGCAATCATCCTTTCATGCACATTTCATTAAAAACAACAGAAAAGGTGCTTTGATTTAGTTTTTTATACAATTTCTCATGCGAACAAATATTTTTTTCTTTTCAGATGATAAATTATATAAAAACTGTCCGAATGTTATTTTAATAATATCAACTATGAACATGGACTCAATATCTTGGCCGTATTTTGAAAATGAAAACGTTATATAAATACGCACATGCAACAAAATATTTATTATTTAACAGTTAAAATGTTTCATCCTTAAAAATGGCTAAATGTATAGCCAAAAGCGCTCGGATTAAAAGAACGTATTGCTGGTAATATTTTTATAATGATTTTTACCTCACTTTCGGGTTTAACTATTTGCCCGTTTCTGGGACCCTAACAAGTGCTACCACCAGGGTCAGGGTGGACCTGGGAACACCAGCAATTAAGAGGTGGTTCCACGCTCCTCAAAACCTCCTGATCAGAGGCCTTGCTGCTGGACGTAGTTTATCGTTTTACCCAGGACGCGGATGTAGTTTATAGTCATACTCAGGACGGGTTTCTCTATGTAAGAAGAAAGTTAAATTTGAAAAAACTTCTTCGAAAGAACCTCTACATTGTGAAACAAACTCCCAAGGGAATGTTTTCTTGACTACTATGATCTTAACGTCTTCAAGTCTATGGTCAACCCTTTGTTTTTCCTCACTTAAACCCTACACTTTTTAACTCTTGCTCCTAGAACCAATTCTTTCTCTAACACTCTACTCTGAGTGTCTCATTGACTTTGTATTGGGTGAAAATTACTGAAAAACATGTGCTCTTTTGCCTGACTTATAAGTGTGTCTGGTGTAATATGTTTGTTACTGGCTTATCAAACGTATTCTCTTCTCCCCGAGTGTGCTACAATTTTTACCTACAATTTTTACCTAGTGTCGTATTAAAGTCAATAAATTTCATTAAATGAATTCTCTCGGTACCTCGTATAGGTTTCACAGTTTATTTCTGGAGTTTTGTTCTGATCACGTTCGCCATGACTCTGGCTACATGTCAGTGTTCGTTTATTACAATAATGAGCTTGATTCGTGGCAACAAATGTTGTTGATTTCACACCACTGCTTTCCATTTATTCGCTTCCCGCCTTTTTTTTAATTTCATTCGTTGTTTCAAACGCATTCCTTTTCTCTTCACGTGGAGTTGTCTTCTTCGCATTTTTAAAAAGTTCTTTCTTTTATTTCTCTTCCTTCTTCACTTTTCTTTTGTTAATTTTTCTCTTCTTTTTTTTTCTTTTCTTTGTTTTTCCTCACGGCATTTGTCTTTTATTTTTCTTTATTTGTTTTTCGTTCAATTTTATATCTTTTTTTTTCTCCTTCTTATCTTTATTTTATTCTCTTCCTCGCCGTTTTTCTTTTTTTTATTTGTCTTTCTTCCTTTCTTTTTCTTTTTCTTTTCTTTTTCTTTCTTCCTCTCCGTTTTTCTTTCTTTCTCTTTCTTCCTTTCTTTATCTTTTTTCTTTTTCTTTTCTTTCTATTTCTTCTCTTTTTTTCTTTTGTTTTCTTTGTCTTTCTTTCTCTCTTTTTTCTTTTTCTTTTCCTTTTCTTTCTCTTTATTCTCTTTCTTTTTTTCCTTTTTCGATACTTTCTTTTTTCTTTCTATTTGTCGTTTTTCTCTTTTTAACCATTCTTTCTCTTTCTTCTTCAACGATTTTCTTTTTTCATTTCTTTTATTCTTGTTGCTTCCTTTCCATTTTTTCTTTATACTTCTCACAATATTATTTGATAAGCATGTTATTCTTAACATCCTTCGGTAGAACCACCTCGAGTCCCTTTTTTCTTTTGAGGCGACCGTCCAACATTCGCTGCCATAAAGGATGACCGATGTCACGTAGCAGCTCAGTACTCTTTTCTTTGTTACCAAAGATATCCTCCTGTCTTGTAATACTCTGCCTAGCTTTTGGAATGCATCTTTGGCTATCCCAATACATCTTCGGATCTCAGTTAAAAAACTTCCCAGATATTTAAATTTCCGTACCTGCTTGATTTTATTATTATTATTATTATTATTATTATTATTTCCTTTGATTTCTGGTATATACTCATTTCCCTTCGGGTTTCAACAAGAGACCTAAGGTCAGAAATGGCTTCATGAGATTTGCCACTGATCACATTTGTAAAAGAAAAAAGATTATTATTATTATTATTATTATTATTATTTCCTTTGATTTCTGGTGTGTACTCATTTCTTTCCGGCTCCCGTCATGAAACTTAAGGTTAGAAATAGTATCATGACATTTTCTACTGAACAATTACAAACACAAAACAAAAAATAACACGTATCTTACATAGATAAAGCCCTTTACATGGTGTGGTCTGTATTCGTGAAAACATTTTTTTTGTATTTCTTTAAGACATGGGCTTACAGGAATCCTTTCGATGAGTCTACTGGAATCTTTTCCAACCAATCCGAAGGCTCCAACTACAACAGAGACTGTTGATGTTCCCATGTGCCACCTTTCTGAGATTTCAATCTCAAGGTCCTTCTATCTAGATAGCTGATGATTATCTTCAAAGATACCTTGCACTCAACAAAAACTGCCGTATCAATAAGGAGGCAATTTTTTTTTTGATTGCCGTCTCTAATAACCATACCTGGGAGATTATATTTGATTATTCTGTCTCTGTGTATTGTGAAGTCCCATAAAATTATTACAGGTTCTCTCTCGGTAACCGGGTTTGGGTGGTTTTCATACCAATTTCCTTCCGTAGATGTTTCAAATTTTCCAGTGAAAATATTGGCCCGCTCTGTCATGCTGGATTTTATATTTAGTGGGTGTCAATATCGTGCAACCTGATACAAGAGGATCAATTGCTTCTTGATATTTATCACAGAATCTGCATTTTGGGCTATCACAATATTTTAGTATGCGTGATTGATAATTTCTTGTTAACAAGCAGTGGTCCTGTGCAGTAAGGATAAAACCTTCGCTTTCAGATTTTAACGATGCACCACGGAGCTACAGATGGGTAAGG